TGAAACCTCTGTTAATTCTAAAGCCTTAGGAGTACCTCTACTGTGGCTAGTTAAGGGCAAAAATATCTAAATATATTCCCAATGATGTAGCTCCTTAAATCCTTGATAAATCTTATTCTAAGGTTAATATCCTCAATTAAGCTATTTTCATAATGTAAGGAGGGGATGGGGGGAAGTGCACTATGTTCCTCATGCATAACACAGTATACTATTTTTCCATCCTCTTTCCTTTTTATTTTCTTCTACTTTCATGAATCTTGACTTTTTATTCAGATACTGTTGATGATAAGCATTCTAAAAGTCTTCATTCAGGCCTTCCTAATTCATTTCTTCTTTCAAATGTGCCCATCAAACTATTCACTTTTCAAACATTAGATCTTATAGTTGAAAAATAATTTAGACATCATTTTCCAAAGTACATGTATGAAGACATGAATTGGTGTCAACACACTTTATATACAACCAGAAAAATGAAAAATCATGCTGTATACATGTAATAAGAATTGTAATGCATTCCATTGTCATTTATCTTTTTTAAAAAATCAGTTAAAAAGAAAAATAATTTTCTTTAATTTGATACTCTTTCCTCTACATCCATTGGGCAATAGTATCACTACAACAGCTATTCATAGCAGTTCCAGTCACTCAAAACTGAGCAGTGGCCTTGTCCCTGAGGCACTGGGCAATAGATCAGAAGCACGTACAACCCACAAAACCAAGGAGGCCCAACCCTTGAAACCCAGAAGGAACTAGCCATAAGCCTTGGGCTTATGGTGGCAATGTTGATCTCTTGGGTCACTTTTCCCTTTTCTTAAAAAATAACAAATAATAGATAGTCACAGCCTTCCTTCATTCCATCCCATTTTCTGATTCCTTTAGTCCAAGCAGTATTTTGCTTGTTTGACATTATCTCTACTCCTGGCTTTTGCTGAAATGGCCAATTAAGTCCAAGAGTTGCACCCAGGATCTCTTTATCAAATGAATGCTCAACCACATCTTTAAGTATTTGCTTCAGAAGAAGCTTTTTCTCCTTTTTACAATATGAATAGGCTAAGAACTTTCTAAATTTTCAAGTGCTGATTCCTTTGTGCTTAATAGTTTCCTCTTCAATTCATCTCTCTTCTTCCACATTTTACTATAAGCAGTCAGGGAAAACCAAGCCACTCCTTCACCATTTCACTTAAAATTCTCCCTAGCTAAATGACCAATTTCATCACTCACAAGCTCTTTCCACAAAACACTATAACACAGTTCAGCTAAGTTCTTTGCTACTTTGTGATTAAGACTTCCTTTCTTCCAGTTTTCAATAACTCTTCTTCACTTTCATCTGGGACCACTCCAAAATGAACTCTAATGTCCATATTTCTACCAACATCCTGTTCATAATTATTAATGTATTCTCTAAGAAGACAACTCCTATTACCTTTCTGAACCCTTACCAGAAATGCCTTTAGTAATTCTATCAATAGTCCCTTCATTGAAACACAAGCTTCGTCTAGCATACACCTTAAAACTCCTTTAGTCTCTACCCATTTTCCAGTTCTAAAGATAACTTTGAAATGTTTAAGTCCATGTTACAGCAGCACCCCAATTCATGTTATCAAAATCTGCATCTGCTAAGGCTAAGTTTAGAGTTATTGCAGATACCTGATCCACATACAATTGAAGAGTTGTACAGTTAACTGTAACTTATATAGTTAACTGTAAAACTAGTATAATTAGTTTCTTAGAGTATAATTTAAAAAAAAAGAAACACCAAAACATGGTGTTTGCCTTCTTAAAATGCAATCGACTCCTTAAAAACCTACCAAATAAATGTCACAAAGAATTATTAAAATCAGGTCTTAAAGTAAATTAACAGCACTCTGAAAAAGATCTATCAATAGCCAAAAGGCACATGAAAAGATGCTTAACATCACCAATCATAAAGGGAATACAAATTGAAACCACAGATACTTCTTTACACTCATGAGAATACATGTTTGGTGAGAAAGTGAAATTTTGAAATGTTGGTGAAGATTTGGAGAAATCAGAACACCTGTGTACTTCTGGTGGGAATGTAAACTGGGGTAGCTGTTGTAAACAGTATGGTAATCCTCAAAAAATTAAAACATAGAATTATGTGTTAGTCAATTTTCCAATATTATAACAAATACTGAAATAATCAACTTATAAAGAAAAAGGTTTATTTTGGCTCACAGTTTTAGAGGTTTCAGTCCATGATTGGTTGGCTCCATTGTTTTTAAGTATGGCAGGGCAGGACACCGTATGGGGAGCACATAGCAGAACAAAACCTCTCAACTCAGAACAGGGAGCAAACAAAGAGAGGAATAAGGGGCTGCAGTCTTCCTATACCTTCAAGATCACCACTTCAATGACCTAAAGTCTCCCGCTGGTACCCAACTCTTAAAGATTCCACCACTTCCCAATAATGCCTCCCTGGGGACCACCTTTAAAACATGAAACTTTGGAAAATATTTAAGATCCAAACTGTAGCAAATTACCATTATAACCTAGCAATATTACTTTTGAGTAGACAATCAACAGGAATGAAGCAGAGACTTGAAAGGAGAGACTTGAACTTGTTTGCACTCATAGCAGCATTATTTACAATAGCCTAAAGGTGGAAGCAACCCAAATATCCATAGCTGAATGAATACAGGGAAAAAAAGTGGTATGTGCACATAATGATTATTATATTCACCCTTTAAAATGACATTCCAACACGTGTAATATCTTGTATGAAACTTGGAAGACATTATTCTAAGTGAAATAAGCCAGTCATAAAAGGACAAATATTGTATAACTGCACTTTGTGAGTTATGTAAAGTAGTCAAATTCATAGACACAGAAAGTATACTGGTAGTTTCCAAGGCTAAGGGTAGTCAAGAATGAGGAGTTAGTGTTTCATGGGTACAGAGATCCAGTTGAGGAAGATTTTTAAATTCTGTAAATGAATAGTAGTGATAGCCATAGTAGTGATAGTTGCAAATAACAATGTAAATGTATATAATGTTACTAAAAGTACAATTAAAATGCTGGGTGCAGTGGTTCATGCCAATACTCCCAGCAGCTCAGGAAGTTGAAGCAGGAGGGTCACAAGTTCAAAGCCAGCCTCAGCAATTCAGCAAGGCACTTAGCAACTCAGTGAGACTCTATCTCTAAATAAAATACAAAAAAAGGATGGGGATGTGGCCCAGTGGTTAGGACCAAAGGGTTCAATCCCAGGTACCAAAAAGAAAAAAGGATTAAAATGGTAAAATTTATGTTATGTGTATTTTACTATGTTTAAAAAAAAGATAACTGAAAAGTAAAGCTGACAAGGGGCAGGAGTACCTGCTACTTAGTATCAATGATTACTAGGCAAACCCAATCTGACAAAAACAAAGACAAAACACCATTTACAACACCATTTACTCAACTGAGTAAATGGTGTTTAATATTGTTTATAACTCAATAGGTAGCATGAAAACATCTCTACATGCCTACCTAGAGTCTCCTCATAGAGCTTTGCTGGAGAAAGCTAAGAAAGCTACACTATCAATAAATAAAATCTCTCACATACACACAAAAAATCATTGATAAATATTCCTTCCCAAGATTTTTAAACCCTGATGCCTATATCCTTGATATTTTAATTTATACCAAAATTCATGTTTTACACCTTGGTGGTGGCCTAAAACACTTGTCCCCTGCATACCTGCAGAGCTCATTCTCTCACTTCATTCAGATCTCTTCTCAAATGCCCCTTTATAAGAGACTGAACTTAAGCATCCTATCTAAAATAGCATCCTCCATCATTCCTGCTACCCTTACTTGCTCTATTTTTTGTTTCATAGCTCTTCTACTTGTTAAGAATGTAAGCTCCAGGAGAAGGACTTTCTCTGTTGTTCACTACTGTCTTCTCAGCACCTGGACCACTACCTGGCACACTGAAGGTAGCCAGTAAATATTTGACAAGTGAATGAATAGCTAGATGTTCACAACTTCATACATCACATTTCCTTCTTGGTCTAAGTACTATTCCACCATCCACAAGTGTTGTAATAGCACACAGCTTCAATGCCATCAGACTATCCTTAGTTCTTCACTGCTTGAAGGGAAGGAACACATCATTTAAAAGTCAGAAAGAAGTCTGAAACCAGCACATAGACATTGAGACCTTAGTTAAGCACATCAAAAAGTACTCTCTAGCTCAGTTTCTAAATAGGCAAAATGAATATGGAATATCTGTTCTTTTACAAGGAGGGAAAAAGAATAAAGATAAAAAATATACCTCTGACACTGCTTTAAGGCAAAAACAAACCATGTACTGTATAACAAACATCACATTACACCCATTTTGATAAACACTGTCAGGCACTTGCAGATGAAAACCACAGAATATCTCTTCTAAAACTGTTCTGAGGACTTCGGAGGAAAAGAAGAAATGTAATAACACAGCTTATCCTTAAAAACAATCAAAATATAAGTAGTCAGTTACTTGGGCCAAAATATAGACATCCTGAAACACCAGAAGAGTATGTTAATACCTGGATGAGATAATTTCTCTCCCTGGATGAGGGAGAGAAAAGACTGCTTCCAAAATATACATAACTTTATTTCACAGTCAAAAGTATTCCACAAAGAATTCATATTGCATCCCAATATGAATTAACATTTATTGCTAAAAAAAAAAATCTTCAACCAGAGAACTGCAATACCTGTCCTGCCAAGTAAGGAAGGAAGGCCCATTATTCTAAAGTCCCACAACCTCATAAGCTCAGCTTTAAAGCAAGTCATCTAGGGAACACACTCCTCCAGCATGGAGAGTGGAAATGGCAGGGGAAGTGGCCCATTAGCGGGGTTCTGGGCTCACATCAGAGATGTTCCCTGTTAATGAAGCATGATATCTGACAGCCTCAGACCTCAGGGCCAGCTATCCCCGCCCGACCCAGATCCAGGCCAACCCCCTCTTCGGATTCAACGGGAGCTCAGATCCTCCAGGACGACCTTCCTACCTGAGCTCTGCCCCCAGCTACAGGGCTGAGGGGGGAGGCGGGAGGAGGCGTGGCCTTCCAGCTCGCTAGTSGAACTCCCTCGTGCGGTTGTTGTGACTTTCCCTCTCGGGATCCGCGCCCCGACCAAGTTCGAGTTGCACTTCCGGGGTCCACAGGAGCCTGAAACGTCATTGCGCACGCGACGGCGGCAAGGCGACAACCCGGAAATGGGCTGGGCGTGGTCGCCGGGTAGGTTCCTGTGGCGCTTGGTGGGATGGGAGGGAGACAGGCCCCTGGGAATTCAAGTGTTAAGGAGAGGCCAGTGTTCGTCCTTCCTTTTGAAGACTACGTGGGTAAACTTGGAAGACCGGACCTTCCTAAAGCTTAGTTCTACAAGCGGATTTTTTTAAACTTTTCTGGGTGTTTCCTTATTCCCCATTCCCCCATTCATGGTTTACCAGGGTTTATACTGCTCATTCAACTCTAGGAAAGACGGGAGCTGGAATTTTGGAAGATTGCATTTACCTCTCGAGATGCGTACAATAGGAAGTTAATACTAACATTCTAATGACAAAGTTTTCTTCGTACCATACTTGACACACGTGGGAATCTAAGGATTTTGATGGAACAGATTTGAAAGTTCACTGTCTTAAGAGTAAATCCAGGATAAGCAATTGGGGGAGGGGGGGTAACTGATTAAATTTTACATGGTACTGTCAGTACATTTACTTATTCCACAATTGTTATTTTAATAAGGCTTAACAAACCAGGTGCTGGGGACACAGATGAGGGAAGCTAAGGGGAAGGAAGGACTGGTCACTGAAGAGTGAGTCGCCATTTATAATATTCAGAGAATTGTCCTTTAAAATATTCTCAACCATAAACAGTGCCTGTCATGAAATACTGAATAAATATTGATTGATTGAATGGCCACAGTGTTATGTATTAAACAAATTTAGTAGCTTATGTAACAAAAGGATTGGGAGTTGGAAGGACGGGGTGTTAATGGGAGAAGGAATGCAGGGTAGAGAGGGTTCTTGGAAATAAAAACGCATTGTAGTTAGCCAGAAATTAATGCCTTGATAGAGGCAGAGTATTGCAAAACTGTCTGGACTTAATTTCTGTGCAGACCTCAGACGGTTTGCAAGGCAGTACTTTCCATGCAAGAGGAAGACAAGAGCAAGACTGAAAATCTTCATAACCCCTGCTGAGTAATTTAAATTTTGCACTGCAATCAAGGAAACAATGATTTTAAAACAGATGTGAAAAGCAACATTTTTTTTTTTTTGGTAGATTATGGCAAGAGTGGTCGAGTTCATTGAAAAGATAAGGCACCAAAACATCAGGCAAAATACCTGACCAGTACTCTTCCTGTCAAGTCACAGAGATAAAGGAAATCTGAGAAACAGTCAGAGCCTATAGGATCCTAATAAGGACTACCTCTAATGTAGCATCCTAGAAAAGAGAAAAATAACAAATGGAGGAACTAGTGAAATCAGGATTAAAAAGCATAAATTTTAATAATATATTAGTCTTGATATGAAACTTGGAAATACACCAAAAGAAGGTTGACATCTCTCAATGTTACAAAGGATAGAAGCCCAATCAAAGATTAGAAGAATGTACTTTGCCCAGTAGTAAACTCTTTACTATTGAACACGCATGAGTGTTTGCGCTAGACCCACACAGGAATGATTGAGACTTCAGATTATTCCAATCCATATGTCTTTCAGCTGAGGTCCCAAATTTTACAAAGCAGAGACAGGAAAACCCTTTGTGACCATTTCTGTATTCCTATCCCACAGGAACAATTAAAGATAGTGGAAATGATTATAATTCTACAAGTAAATATTGAAGTAAATGTTCAAATAAATTTTACAGTGATTTGTTAACTCAGAAAAAGAAAATAATACACTATTTAACAACAACCCTTTACTTTCACCTCCCATCCTGTATAAAATGTCAAAATCAAGAATGAGATTATATGTGCTTAGGGAAACTGTTATAATAATGATGACAACAAATATGTAGTAAAAATTTTCTTTCTTTTTACACATTTAGAGTACAAATTTTCCCCCTTTCCAATAAATACCATCTAAATTGTGCTAGCTTTTTACTTATTATTTTATTTCATACATCTCTGGGGAAGCCAGAAACTCCAGTTTTTCTCCCCACCCCTATTCTTTTGCACGAAGATCTGACAGAGAGAAAGAAAAGGAGAGGAGATTTGTTCCCTCCTGGCTAACAGCTGGTCCATCTTTGATCACTGCTATGATCAAAGAAATCTCCCAGCACCATGTTTGGCATTTCCTCCTCCTATTCCAGGCCACCTCCCATCTATTTTCTTGTCAATCTACCTGTACCCTTCAAGTCAGATGTTCTCAGTGACTTGCAGCAGACACCTACAAAAGTACTATCAAATTACATATTATTCACTTAAATTAAAAAATAAAACCCACCTGCCACAACTAGGATTCAGCTCAAGCATTTTTACTGCTTTGACAAATTCATTAAGAAAGCATACTTGGTTAGATTCTAACAGCAAGGATCTGTCTACACTAACAAACTGTATTGGAGTGTCAGGCCAAATGATATCACATTTACTAAAGCCTCTGAATTCTGATTTAAATTTGGTGGATCAGTTAACATTCCTGCCTTTGCTCAAGTCCAAGTAGGTATGTGTAAAGCATGGCATAGAAATGACAAGACATTCTGCCTTCCAGGTTTAATTTATATTCAAAACTCAAAAAACAGGATCACAGAATCATACCATTTCAAATGTTTCCAGTGTTGGAGATCAAGTCCATGGTCTCGCAAATGCTAGGAAAGCAGTCTGTCACTGAACCACACTCCCAGCTTGCTTTTGACATGTCTGTGGACATCCCAAGTTCAGATACTCTTCCTGAGCTGTGTCTAGTCTACACATGTGCTCATCGAAAGCACTTTTCATTTATGCTACAATATTTTTATCTTCAGCATTTCTTTTTGATTCTTGGAGTTTGAATCCTTCTTTTTACATTACTCTCATTTTCTTGAATGTTGTCCACTTCTCCTTCAACTTTGAAAGTCAGTTAAGGTTGGAATTGGCAATTTCTATTTATCCAGATTAGTTAGGCACTGCTAAACCCCCAGTCAATCAAGCTCTGTTAAAATAGTTTTTTAAGGGCATACTTTGTCAGGAAAACCATTTAGCAATCTTTAACTTCTGCTTTAATCTATGTATTTTGAAATTTTATACAAGGAAAAATAAAATAATAATGTTCAAAAAGAGCACTTCAATAGCGTTTGAAACAAACAGCCTAAAAATAAAAATAGTCTCTAATTTATGAGGGATGGGGACAAGTTGTAGATGTATACATTTACCTAGGGTTAGGCAAACTGCAAGGTTAGAGGGCACAGTCACAAGGCTTGCCTCATTTCTGACACCAGCTGCAAGTTGCTGGGGTTGAGGGGTATTCCTCAAACCCTCAGATTTGAAATTCTCTAGAAGGCCTCACAGAACTCAATGAAAATTGTTATATTCGTGGTTAGTTAATTACAAGGAAAAGATACAAATTTACATCCACTAGGAGAAGAAGTACATAAGATAGAGTCCTGGAGGGCACCAAACACAATGCTTCTGTTTGTTGTATTCTCCCACTGGAGTCAGGACATGTTACATTGTCAGCATCAATGCATGGCAAGATGCATCAGAGGATTGCCAGCCAGCAATGCTCACCAGAGCTTCAACATGGAGAATTTTTATTGGAGCTCCATTATGTAGGCAGGATTGATTGATTGCTTCATTACCCCTGTGGTTGATCTCAGTCTCCAGGTCAAATGATACCACATGTCCCAAAGCCTCCATCCTAAGTCACAGGGGTGGTCTTTTAAGCACAGGGAGCCCTATGCTAAGACTATTACACTTAGAAGGCCTCCACCCTAAACAAAACACTCCTATCAGATGTGATATAGATTCTTTCCCAGAATCTGAGGGTAAAATCCAGATCAGACTTTGAGAAAGGCCACACTCTTCACTATACAATATTTGGCATGAATCCTGCATAAATTTTATTTGGATGGGAGGGAATAGGTAAGGGAAAAGAGAAATTGTTATTAGTTCTCTGGCAGATTAAATTATCAAGAATAGGTGATTTATTTGAATGAGTGAAGACAGTGGTTTTGTTCCATATAACTTCATAGAGCCTTTTCATTTTCTACTCAGTGTCTCTCCTTTAAATTGTCTTTTTTTTTTTAAATGATTCTTCCATGGAAAGAGAGGAATGAATGGCATGAGCTTTCTTGTGAGCTCTGAAAAGACAAAACAACAAAGGGAATATGTGAAGGATAGGCTCTCTGACCCAGCTCTTTCTCCTGTCTCCTGAATAATAATATAGATTACAAACAGCTGTGGAGAGCTGTCTTTGCATGCCTAACAGAGGTTTGGTTCTAAACCAGCCCTCATGAAAAAAAATCCCTGATAGTAAAAATAACTATAAAAATCCCTAAGTGGCCTACAAAAGTCATAGTTTGATTCCTTTTTAATCTTGCATTGCACATAAAATTCCACAGCAAAATCTGTTGACTCTTTCTCAAAAAAGGTATCCTAAATTTAACCTCTTCTCACCATCTCTACTGCTATCCCTCTAGTCCACACTGGATACAATAGCTGTCTCTTAATTGCTTTACATTTTTTTATTTTTGCCTCTGTAAAGTCTAGTCTCCCATTGACAGATGTAAAAATCTAAAAACTCAAATCAGAGCTTGTCATTTTCCTGTTAAAAACCTTAATAGCTTCCTCGCTCAAATAGAATAAATTCAAAAATAATATTCACAGGTCTACAAGGTTTTGTGTGATCTGTGTCCTTTCTATACCATCACTCCACTGAGAAGGAAGGTCATAAAAGTTTTGTTGTTGTTGTTGTTTTGAATTTTAGGGTTGGGAAGGATTTGGAGTTTGGAAAATGCAGTCCCAAAGGTGAGTACATAAATCTCTTGCTTAAAAATAAAGATAAGAGACTAAATGAGGGTACCTGTGATGCATGAGTAAGGACATAATAACTGTCAGGTTTCCCCCAACATCTGGTAGACATTCTGGTATATGACTTGGTATAATATTAGTCTGCTAGTACTGTCATAACAAAGTTCCTCAAACTGAGTTGCTTAAATAACAGAAATTTA